AAGCAGGTTTTTCTTGTGTTTCTTGTGAATTTGGTCTTAAATTTCTATTTCAAGTGCCATTAAAAAGTCTTAAAGTCTTGAATTTAACTTGCCTTATGCTGTAGGAACCCTGTTCACAGCACAGTGGAGCAGAGTAGTGGGAGAACGAGTAGAATTGGAGTTAAGGTTCATTTACAACTTTAGCTTTCCTGGCACATAGCAGTATGTCTGTAGGACCATTAAAAGCCCGGGTTACAGCGGTAGGGTCCAACTCTTTATTCTCCACATTCTCCAGTTTCCTACTACGGGGTCAGCGTGTTAGATGTTTATCCACATTGACTCTCAAATGCCAAGCGTCACGACCTCGTACAACACAGCCTTCTGTCAGATCGGACTGAAAATTGTATTGAATGTGTTCAGGGCTTTAGCCTTATCTGAGCAGAACATCTTATGGTTTGTGGCAAATTGTAAGTAAGACTCTTTCAGTTACAGCTTTCTTATTGCTAAGATTCTACTAAAGCATTACTGCAACTTTTAGCCACTAGGGGTGCTAGACCTATAACTTCAAGCTTTATTCCCCCGGAGCAACAGTATACAACAGTGCTGAATATTGACCTGAGAGAACATTGAATAGATCTAAAATCTAACTTATACTTGGTCATAAGTTACTCAACGTTGCTTTAAGGAAAGCGGTCCTTTCAACAGTTTGTTCTGTTCAGGTATAAACCTCTGCAGCTTCTCCAAAGAGGCCTTACTCCCATTTGACTAATAAAATGATATGAAATAACAGAAATCCCACCATTTTATTGGATCTATACAGCAGTTTGAAAGGAAATAATTACATAGGACAAGAAATAAGAGACATGTTGGCAAAATAAAACACATTAAAACAGTCGCTTATTTATCACACAGGCTTTCATTTGGGTGAAAACTTTCCATCGTACAGACAGGAACGCATTCAAACAATAACGTGTTTTAAAGAATGTGAAGTTAGTCATGTTTGGAGCTCGGAACAGGAAAAAAGAACCATAAGGTCTGAGTGTTTTTTAAGAAATCAGATCAGAGCTTGCCAGATACCAGCGGTGTTTTTTGACCTTTCATTTAAAGTTATTGTCTGTAATGTTTTTCCTTTCAGGTCCATCATGTGTCATATATATCTGATTATTTAATGAAAATCAAACGTCATTCAGTGCAGTATAGATCTGTTAATCAGATGTTAAAGTGGCTGCATCTTCTTCCCTATGCTATAAAAGGGGAGGCTCTAATTCTATCAAACTCTGTCTGCAGCACTACACCAAAGACGCTGATGGGCTCTGCACCAGACTGATTAAACCCAAGCTGATGGAGGGGACAGTGGCGGCGCAGGACGAGTTCTCCAGGAGTAAGGCCACACTGAACTTATAACACCCCCCAACAAGGACACTGGCTCTGAAGGCTCCCTGGGACATTTGTTTACTTCTCACCACGTTAACCTTGTGGACGCACAGCGTAACGCTAAACCCACGTGTCCTTTTGAGGTTGTGCCGTCGTCTGTAGCTTAGTGGCATTAATTATGGCGATAATTAATCTTTTCTGTGTGTTTAAACTCCTGGGATGACCAGCAGTCACATTTAATCCGTATCGACCTGCTCCTCCTCGGTTTGCCTTTGCTGAACTTCATGCATCCATTTGACACGGAAAATTGGCGAAGATTGCTATACTAAGAGAAAAGAGCCATAATCGGAGTGAAACATGATAGATTATAACATTTTCTGGTTTGTCAGGATGCAGTTATTCATTTGTACTATTACTGCAGACAACTAAGTTTTTCTAATCTTCCTGGTAGGTGGCTGGGCCTTGAACAGGAAGGAGCTGAAACTGCTTCAGAGCATTGGGAAGGGGGAGTTTGGAGGTGAGTAACTGATGCAGAATAAAACCCTTAGATCTCTGCTCTCCAATTCCTTTCATTGACTTTACTGTTTTACATATATTGACAGGGACAAGTTATTTGATAGTTAATACTATACGTGTCTGCCTTGAAAAGCTCATATTCTAAAACTGGATCTTTGCACGATTTAGTTCAGTCTTTCTGTTTTAGATTATTTTCTTAGATGTCTCTTATGTTATGTAGTAAGGACAGATTTCTGGTTTTCATTCAGATCTGACCTCCACGCTATAAAAGAGGAGTCAGAAAAATGAAAAATGTTTTAGTTTGTACTGCTACCATTTTAAAGATAATATTGAAAGTTTAAAGGTCAACCAGCCTCCTCACCTTCTTGAAACCAAAAAAAAACTCAGGGTCAGTCAATTCGGCTTTAAAGTTGCTCAAACCTTTTGGCCTTTAATCTTTGGCTAAAACATTTTAAATTCAAATCAGCATGAACTAAAATTTCTGCTGCAGAAATGTTTCATACTATTGTTTAAAAAAAAAAGCAGCACAAATGGAAATGTTTGCTGCATAAACATTTTAACACCAGAGAAAGCCTCTGTTTTTTTGGGAGCAATGATAAACTTTCCACATGTCTGTAATGTAAAAAGCCTTTTATGACCAACCACCCATCTCATCTAAGGCTACATTCACACTGCAACCTGAAGTGACCAAAAGCGATTTTTTTGGCCCATATGCGACCTAGATCTGATCTTTTCATGGCAATCTGAACAACACGGATCCGATTTTTTCCAATGCGACCCAGGCCACTTGGCTATGTTGCCCTGAATCCGATACGAATCTGATCTTTTCAAATGTGACCCATGTCTGAACGGCCAGGTCAGATTAATCCGACCTGAACGTCATTAATACCTTACATAGGTCACTATTCTGCTTCTTGCTAGGCAGTAGTGGCAAGAAAAACAACAACCATGGCAGACGATGATGTGGAAAGCAGTATTTTTGTTTAACCATATTGAAAAGATTGTTTTTATGGTTGGAAAAGATCGCTAGATGCGCGCCGGTACTACCATCCATGTTTACCTTCGGGAAAAAAAAGCACGCTGGCCTGTGACGTCATTGCGTCCTCTACTGCGCATGCGGTACACTTGCTCGTTGTATGACTGCAGTTCACACAGGAGATCACATACAAGTCGCATTTATTTGGAAATATGAATGGGAACACAAAAAATCGGATTTCGCGAAAAAATCGTAATTGAGCATCAAGGCCTGCAGTTTGAACGTAGCCTAAGTTTCGAAGGACACTTCAGTCCACCATTCAACTGTAAGGAATTTTCCCACAAGCATGTCTGCAACAGATAATCCCTGAGATATAATCTGACATATTTTTGTGTGCGATAGTTTAAAAATTGGTTATTACCTACAACTAGTGACCATGTTGTTCTGGATAAGATGACCTGTTGGGTTAAACCCAAAAAAAAAAAAAAAGCCTCGTTATCGTCCTCGCTCACCACCTAGGCCGAATTTACCTGTGGGATGTAGGATCTGTGATCAGCATCTAGGTTGGGTCACACATCTCAGATTTTCTACCTTTATCCATCTTTTATTTAATAAATCCAGTAAGTTTGAACCCTTATGGTCGGATATTTGTTTTAAAGGATAATCTGTCCTTTTTTTTTAGTTTTCTGACCATTTTCTAACCTAAGGTTGCTTTTTAGGATATGCATGTGTGCATTCATACATGTGATGCTTGCTTTTAGAGAACAGTAGTAATGATGACATTAGAGCAAACGACTCTGGTGTCGGAAAAGTATCAGGATCTATAGATATCCAGCTCTAAGTATCGGAATCAGGTCAGAAGTGAAAGCAGAAACAGCAATTGAAACCAGTTTGAAGGTTTCAGCTGTATTGGCTGCAGAAGTGTTGGATCACAACAATTGTAACACAGCTATGACGGCTTTAAACTCTGAAGACGATCAATCTCATTTAAATAAAACATCTGTCGTTGCCAGATGTGATGGTGGGAGACTACAGAGGGACCAAGGTGGCTGTGAAGTGTATCAAAAACGATGCTACAGCGCAGGCTTTCATCGCCGAGGCCTCCGTCATGACGTAAGATCAGACTTTTCCTTTATCTCCTTTGATCATCTAACCTCTCGTTCCCAAATTTGAGACAATCCTCTAAATTCCTCATTTCTCTGTGATGTTTTATTTTTAAATTAATTACAACCTCCTGCACACCACTGGTATCCTTCATCCCCTTCGTCTGTTTCCAAAGGCAACTGAGGCACAACAACCTGGTGCAGCTGCTTGGTGTTATTGTGGAGGAGAGAGGCAGCCTCTACATCGTCACAGAATACATGGCTAAGGTCAGGCAGTCTCTGTCTGTTTCCATCTGATAAAATCACAAAACATTCTAAATATTAAAGGTGTATCAGTTATTTGCCAGTAGAGATCTTCACGGTCATACCAGGTGTTTTATTTTTCGAATGTAACCATCCCACAGGGCAGCCTAGTGGACTACCTGCGCTCCAGAGGACGGACTGTTCTTGGTGGGGACTGCTTGCTGAAGTTCTCCCTGTGAGTCTTGTTCATCTTTTCACTTTGGTTTCCTTATGAATCAAAAAGTCTTTGTTTAGCTGTCTGGGGTTCTTCAGAATATCTCAGGAGCAGCGTCAGCCTTTAAGCTGGAAATATACCAGAACCGTTTGTCTACAGGCAGATGTATAATTCAGATGGTTCTCTTTGACAAATGTCTGCTGCATTGGCACATAAAGGCTTTGGCTTAATCCTTTTTTAATTAAACTGTTGGTAAGACATTGCTATCTTCGAGCACCTGTGAAAAACGACCATGAAATGAGCTCAAATGTTCCAGTCTGTCGGTATTTGTGCATTAATCCACTGTAAGGTGATTGGTTACTGATTTTTTTTTTTTTTTTTCATTAATAGAGGGAAGTATAGAGTAGTTTTTATGTGCATAAGACGAAGCAGAAAAGGATGAAAATATCTACTAGAAAAGACATCGGTACTTGTTTAACTACCTGAAAGCGCATTATTCTGTCTTTTTTTTATGGAGTTAATTTTGTTCCATTATTGTTCTAAGCAAATAACACAATTTATAAATGAAATTAGGGGAAAAAATGCAATCGGCAAATGAAACCCTGAAATACATCAATTTTTTTTAAATAAAGATTTTGAGACTAACTAGCTGTTTTTCTCAGATTTTGTCATTTAAATATTTTATTTATTTTGCATATTGAAGTTTTTTCTAATGTTATTTATAGATTGTTTTTTACCAATAAGCCGTTGTTTTTGAACCAATAGAAAAGCTTCTTTGCTTCTCATTCCAGAGGAAATTTAAAGTCTGAGAAAAGAACAGAAAATCGTCTTTTTTTTTTCTATTGAAAACATTTTCAACGTTACATTTCTAGATATATTTTTTCACATTTTATTTTACAAAATGTGTTCTTTGCTTTAAAAAATGATGGAAAATCTGTCTTACATTTTATCCAGTTAAGATAAGATGGCCGTTTGCTTTCATCTTCCATGAATCACAGTGATATTTCTGAACTGATTCTCTCCCCTACAGCGATGTGTGTGAAGCCATGGAGTACCTGGAGGCCAACAACTTTGTCCACAGAGACCTGGCTGCGCGCAACGTGCTTGTGTCTGATGACAACATCGCCAAGGTCAGCGACTTTGGTCTCACCAAGGAGGCCTCCTCCATACAGGACACTGCCAAGCTGCCCGTCAAGTGGACCTCCCCTGAAGCACTAAGAGAGAAGGTGAACAGGCTTTATGCTTCCTTTTAACCGTGACTCCCACCTCACATTCAGGTCCTGCAAACACTCATCTCCAATCCATGCATATAAATTGTGTTATTTATGCCATTCCTGAAGTCACAAAGTTCAAGCTTTTCTCTCTTCATAAATCCATCACTTTTTTTTTAAAGAAGTTGTCATAAAATCCCCCAAAGATGCTCCAATCTAAAGTTTCCCAAACAAGCTTCACAAATATGAGCTTCCTCTAAATTTAGTTTCTCCATGTTTAGATCTCTGCTTTAATGACAGCAGCTCCTCCGGCAGCAGCTGTCAAAGCCCTGCTAATGGTGTCAGCATCGTGTAAAATGTGTTAATTGGTTTGTTTGTTTTTTTTATCCAACAGAGGTTTTCCACCAAGTCGGACGTCTGGAGTTATGGCATCCTTCTTTGGGAGATTTACTCCTTCGGCCGCGTGCCTTACCCTAGAATTGTAAGTATCTCAGCAGGCTTTCTCCTTCTCTCTCATGTCTGAGATGAGCCAGCAGATGGCAGGCTTCAGCACATAGACCAGAGCTTAGACATATTCAATAGGAGAACAGCAGCAGCTTTAACCACGTCTGAACATTTATAGAAAATATTTAAGTTTACATTTTCTCAAAGAATTATGAAAAATCTGTTCTCTGCTAATGTTTAAAAAGATACACAGGCATCTCAATAGTCCTAAACCAGAGGTAGGTAAGAACCTCTTACGTTAGAAAAGAAAAACTATAATTTATCTCCATTTTATTTGAATATAAATATAATAGATCATTCCTACTCTTACTTCTTGCTACTCTACCCATCATGGATTACTGTACTTAAGGAAAACAAGCATCTTCTAAAAAATAAAATAAAAAATAAATAAAAGTGCAACAGAGAAACTTCTTTTTTCTAATTATTGGCTGTCCGATCATTTGGATGCCAGGAAGCTCATCTTATTCTAACTCATATACACTTAATGTGTTGTTAATATGGATTTTGTAAGTTTTTGTATAGATTTTCTTCTTTAGCTTTACATTTTTTTAACATTTTAAGTCGGTTATGATCAATAATAGTAATGCTTTCTTACCCTTGAGTATTTTTTTTTGAATGGCCTGGTTAAACGGTAAATAAAGATAATAGAAATTAAGTTTTTTTGTACTCTACCCTTAAATGTGATCAAAGTTTTTTCTTAACTGAAATTGTAAAAGTAATAATTTCTCACACTAAAGTGTTTTTGTTATTATGGTAGATTGAAACCCAATGTTCAGTTTTTTTATGTAATGTTGTTATACATACAATAAAAGGATGATTATTCCCATAGAAATGTCAAGCTGTTTATCTCTGTTCAGCTTTAATGGCGGCCTTCAGCTCATTAGCTCGTCTTTGTCTTCCCCTGAAATGTTTAGATCCGGATCCTTCAGCTGATGTCATTGTTACTAAATAAGTTCTTGGTACTTTTTGATGGTGCAGGGCTTTTTCTTCAACTTGCTAATTTGCGAAGCTTAAGGCTGATTTATGTTCAGGAACCAGGTCGTCTGCATGTATGTCGCAGTGAAGGCAAATGTGCCCCCAACCCTACTGCAGACAGTCCCCTGCACCTCTCCAAAATTGTAGGTGACCGCAGACAGGAGGCCTCTGATTGGTCAAATCTACATCCGCTCTACAATATGCGTATTCCCTGTTTGGTACCTTACCGGCTTGTTTTGTTTGTCTGTCCACCATTGCCATAAACGACTCGTGAAGTTGGACCAGCTAGACGACCGAGGTGCGCTAGAACACTGGGACTCTTTCCACCTGGACCCCCGCTCTTTTTGCCCTCATGTCCCTCCGTTGTAGGACAAACTTGCCCCCACTTCCTCGCCGCCTCGACCTTATCTAGACCCACAACTAGTTTGTGGTTGTCCCTCTTGCGTTATGGAGTGGAAGAACATATCACAGACCACGCTTCAATATTGGGCTAAAATCAAAAATATCTGCGACAAGCTCCCTGCGACACACTGCTGTGGGAGGATAACCAGTCTTTTAGTGAAGTTTTTATTTATTTATTTTTTAATAAAGTCTGAGAATACAGCAAAGTAGGGCTGGCGGATATGAAGAAAATCTAACATCACGATATATTTGGGCTGAAATCACAGTACATGATATATATCACGATATGTTTAAATCACCTTCAAAAACAATAGTGCATAAAATTGCACTGATATATTCATTCAAACTACTGGTTTCTAATTTAAAATATTTTATTTAAACCAGCGGCTCCTCAGTGGAGCAGTGGGTAGCACTGATACCTTGTTGCAAGATGGTTCTGGTTTCGCTTTCCGGCCCGGGTGCTTTCTGCATGGAGTTTGCATGTTCTCCCTGAGCATGCGTGGGTTCTCTCCTGGTACTTTGGATTCCTCCTACAGTCAAAAATCATGACTCTTAGGTTAATTGGCTTCTCTAAATTCTCCTTAGGTGTGAGTGTGTGTGTGTGAATGGTTGGTTGTCCTGTTTTTCACTGTTTTGCCCTGCGATGGACTGCTGACTTGTCCAGGGTGTACTGTGCCTCTCGCCCATAGACAGCTGGAGATAGACATCAGTACTAGGGATGGAACGGTTTATGAAAACCACCCGAACTGTTTGGTTCGACTGTCTCGGTTCGGTTCGCGTGTGTTTCGTTCGGTTCATGC